GGAGGACCCAGGTTCGATTTCTAGCACGTACATCTGATCACAAATGCCGGTAACTCCACCCCCAGGGGATCTAAAGTCTGTGGCTTCCTCTGACATCTGCACTAATGCGTACATGCCCACACAATTTAAAATAATACAAAGGCTTTAAAAGATCTTCATGAAAATTTTAAAGATACAATTAGAAAAAAATATTTTAATACCCAAAGAGGAAAAGTTTACAGTGGCACAAGAGAACGAAAACGTACCACTGTAGTATGTAAACTACCAATAAAAGCTCAGTGAGTTTTTGTCACGGCTTCACGGAGTGGCTAGCACTCTGATGTTTGAAAACACAACCATCTGCTCACCTCTACATAAAATCGAGAGATTCATGTTTGACTTCTGGGTTTTGTTGTCTGTTTTTAAGACACCGCCCTCCCCCGCCCCACGCAGGATTTCTGTGTAAACCAAGATGATCTCCTGCCTCGGCTTCCTGACTTTGTAGGCCACAGGCGTGTGCCAATACACTCAGTTTAATGTGAGAACTAATCAACCTGCTCGTTTTTAGGGAAAACACGACATTCCAAGACCCACAGCGGCTACCAGAGGCTTTCTCTCCCTAGGTGCCGAGCTAACCCTTCGCTTTCTGGAGCCGCTGGCGCTCACGGCGGGTGCAGCGCAGTCAAGCTCTGCAAACACTCGACTGCAACAGACGCGTGCACGCCCGCAGGCCCGCCCCGGAGCCCCGCTCAAGCATCGGCCCTGCGGTCGCCGGCGACGCCGGCTTCTTCCCACACAGAGGTTTGCCCGGCACTAGGCGGGTCCGCAGCTGGAGAGGCGCGGGGCAGGCAGGAAGCCGCAAGGACAGGAGCCCAGGGGACCCGAGTGCGAGCAGCCGCTGCCCCCGCCAGGCACAGCCCCGGCGACGCGTCTCCGAGGCGCGGCGGCACAGCCGGGCCGCTCCGGCGAGGAAGCGGGAGGAAGCAGCCCGCAGAGAGCCCGCACGCCCCACGGCCAACTCACCATGGTAAGGAGCCGCAGGGCTCCCGCCGGAAGACGCTCTGGGAGGTCGCTTTCCGGAGCGGAAGGGGCGGGTCGTCGGAGCCCGATTGGTTCCAGGGCGGCGAGGGCGGAACTGCGCGCGGGGGCGGGCGGGGCGGGACTAATGTCCCGCCTCTTCCGGCTACCTCAGCGCGTGCGGGAGGTAGGCGGGAGTCTTGAGGAGGGAAAGGGCAGGGCTTCCGCCACTTGGTGGGGAGCTCTTAGGACGGTTTCACCTGTGTGTGACTGTATTACGTACGCTAGGATTCCTGTTTTAATGATGAAGAAGCAGGGAGAGGTAGGCACTGTTGCCGTGAGGCCGAGCGGATGTCGGTGAGTTCGAGGCCAGCCTCTCTTGAAAGACACCTGCCCGATGGCCAGCGCGGAGCCGTTCTGGTGGCAATGCGCACCTTTAATCCCAGCCCTGGGAAGGCTGAGGCAGCGGGATCTCTGTAAGATCCAGGGCGGCCCTGTCTCGGAAAACAGAAACAAAATTCCCAGCACGGTTTCATTAAAAAATAATGTCACGGAGCCGGGCGGTGGTGGCGCACGCCTTTAACCCCTACACTCGGGAGACAGAGGCAGGTGGATCTCTGTGAGTTCGAGACCAGCCTGGACTATAGAGGGCGTTCCAGGACAGCCAGAACTGCTTCACAGAGACACCCTGCCTCAAAAAACAAAACAAAAATAGGTGGTAGAGGCATTATGTAGCACAAGTGACACACACGGGTTTAATTGCCTACACTGGGTGTAGACTTGAAACCCTACAGAGTTGGTGGCTCAGGTAGGAATATTGAGTTCTAGCATGCTTGGGATCCATCAGCCTCTCCAGTTTAGTTAGGCCATCTCAAATTTAAGGAGAAATTAGGGGACTGTAGCTGTGTTCCATCTCAGCAACACAAAACAAAACACAAATGTTACACACTCAATGTGGTGCCGTCCTTGAGAGGCTGTGGCAGGAGACTGACTTCAAGTCACCTTTCACCACCAAAAAACGTGAAAGCGGAGGAAGGGATAAGACAAGGTAACATGTAAAAAAACTGTCCAAGAATAAAATAAAATACATAAAAAACCTGAAACATGGCTCCTGTCATATCTGTTTCACACACTGGTGTGGAACTCAGAATATCTGGTCTTGAACTTAACATACTCTGACCACCCGTGCCCTAACATGCTTTTAAATCTCTGTGGCTTCTTACACGGTAATGTTAGAGAAAAGACAGACAGTGGCATATAAAGACTATATTTGGCGACCTTATCTGTTATGCACTGGTCATAGGGAAATTAAGAGACAAATGCAGGAAGAAAAACTTGTGAAGCTATTTGTAAGCAGTTTATCAAAAGTAGGGTAATGTGTTAGGTGTAGTGGCTCATGCCTTTAACCCGAATAGTTGTAGGCAGGGACGAGCAGGCCCTGTGAGTTACAGTCCAGCCAGAGCATCACAGAGACACCCTATGTTAGAAAAAAGGAGGAACCCCTTAAAGATCGACTACGTAGTTAAGTCACAGCGGTCAGAAAAGACTTTTCAGGTGTTTTATTAGTGTGTGCAGAGGGCAGTGAAGCCTTGGAGTTCATTGCTTTGTATATTTTGTTCAGAGTTATTAACACAAAGTGGGCTCAGGGATTTGAACTCAGTCTTCTTGATTGGACAGGAAGTACCTGTAACCACTGAGCCATCTCTCCCTCCAGTCCTTCAGAAGAGCTTCTTCAGGGAGGCAAGATTAACAATGATTTTTCCCCCCAGGCAGAATAAACTAAAGCAAGTATCTCATTGAAATGGTGTACTTTGAGATCTGAAAAGTGATAGAATTTACTCTGTTAAAATCTGGATCATGACTTCACCACAATATGTATTGATTGATTTACACAACTGTAAAGTCATTTTTAATGAGAATATGTCTTAGGTAGCCCAGGCTAGCCTGAAGTCACTATGGAGTTGATGATGGCCTTGATCCTTCTACCTTTTCCTGGGGATTACTGGAAAATACAAACACAGCCCACTAAAATATTTTCAAGGAAATGCGCCACAGGAAAACAGGTGGAAGAAAAACCCAATGAAACTCCAAGCAAACTGTAGGTCCTGTTAAGTCCCCTTGGACTGAAATCCAGTTAGTGAAAAATACACAGTTGCATTTCATGGTCCTGCCCACTTCTGTCCACTCCACTGTGGACTAATTTCCTGATTCTTGACTGCCATACTAAACGGTCCATCATTTTAGGCGACCTCTTCCAGCCACTTGTTTTGACACCCAACTCTGCGTTACCACAGGAGCAATGATTTGAACTGCAGATGGAGATAAACCAGCAGATCTCTGACTGTTATCCCAAAGTCTTGCTTTCAAGACTGTCCTTGGCCGGGCGGTGGTGGCGCACGCCTTTAATCCCAGCACTCGGGAGGCAGAGGCAGGCGGATCTCTGAGTTCGAGGCTGGGCTGGACCGATAGCCTCCAAAACAATACAGAGAAACCCTGTCTCGAAAAACCAAAAAAAAAAAAAAAAAAAAAAAAAAAGGACTGTCCTTGGTTGGTCTATTAATGTAGACTTAAAGCAAGTTTATTCCTACATATTTCCTAACAAATGCTTTCTGATGCTGGAGAAAGTAAATACAGGGGAGGAATCTTAAAATCTGCATTCTGGGGCTGGAGAGACGGCTCAGCAGTGAAGAGCACTGACTGCTCTTCCTGAGGACCTGGGTCCAATTCCTAGCACCCACATGACAGCTCACACCTGTCGTAATTCCAAGATGTGACAAACTCACAGAGATACATGCATGCAAAATATCAATGCAAATGAAATAATTTTTAAAAAAATGACTGCTATAGTTAGGAAGACTAATTTTTTGAAAATCTGAACTTCTTAAGTGTGTTGGTATATTTTGTCTATTTGGGAGAAATTCAGGCATTACATTTTACCTGTTTCTCATATGTATTATTTTCTCTTCTTACAAGTACTGATACTGTCCACTGCCTCAAGCCATCCTTGTTCTGCCTTCTCTATGACTGGTTTAGCATTAATTAATCTGACAGTGCTTGTTTGGAAGCACATGTACTAAAAACTGGAAGAACATCTGATAGCAAAATTAAATGAGTGAATAAAAATGAAAAAGAATCCCAGCACTTGGAATCAGAGACAGGTAGATCTGAGTTCTTGGCCAACAAAACAAACCAAAAATGAAAGAGAAAAGAAAAAAAAAGCCAGGTGTGGTGATGCATGCCTTTAATCCCAGCACTCGGGAGATAGAAGCAAGCAGCTCTCTGTGAGTTCGAGACTAGCCTAGTTCTAGGACAACCAGGACTACACACACACACACAAAAAAAACCTTGTCTCAAAAAACCAAAACAATATTTGATATGACTTGTTACTTTTTCTTGCCAGGTTTTCCTTTGATTTTGTAAGTTCTTTTTCTTTGAAAGTTAGGATCTATTGTCTCTCCTTTTCAGTAATTAACATTTTCAAGGCATCTACTGTTCATTTCCCAGAAGTGTGTGATATGTGCATCTTTTTCCATGTATTTTGATTGTAGACCACATAACTTTGCTTTGAATACTTGGATTCTGTTTTCTTCTAAAGAATGCTATCTACTCAGGATTTAGACTATTAAGAAGATAACCACAATACCATGAAGTTAAATTGTCAAGAGTTTCAGTTACCGGGCGCTGGTGGCTAACCTATCCTGTGACTTTGCAAGATTTCCTTTATTTTCAGGTGACTCAGAAGCCTGAAATACCTCTTCATCTAAACATGTCAGCTACATTCTGCTTGAATTTTATTTTCAAATGAATTGCACAAGCTGAGAACTGACACATAAGAGCGCTCTTCAAATGCACGCATTCTTGTCACTTTGGACTAGCTTGCGTTGCTCTCCCAAACCTTCTATTCATTGCTTTGTATATTTTGTTCAGAGTTTATTAACACAAGAGTTACAAATAGTTCATCAAATTGCAACCTCAGAAATATCAAAGATTCAAACTATAAAAAATTAAGGCAAAACAAAGTTTATCATTTATTTACAATAAAATTAATTAGGATAAAAACCCACTTTATGCAGCTGTGTGTCCCCTTAAAGTCATTTCTTTTATAGAAGTAAAAAGTTAAGACTAAAATTGAGACAGACATTTAAAAGAAAATCTTCTGCCTTTAGAATCCGAAAAGCAAAGTATAAATTCAATCTACAAAAAAGTTAATTTTGTATGTATGACACACAAACAGTTTACATTATAAACAGAGAATGCCACATATATTTAACTTAAAATTCTGTTTATCTTGTTACACCTGAAGCACAAAAGGACAAAAACAAATTCAATTGGCTTCTAGTCTCAGAAAAGCTTTGTAGCCCTAGCAGATCTGGAAAGATGGTATGAGGCTTTCCTTTGGCTCAGTCAGCTGATTAGTAAGTTCACCGAGCATACAAGGACTCTGTCACGTTAGCAGGAAGAACACACCAATCCTTCCTTTGTTGGGGGGGGGTTTCCAGACAGGGTTTCTCTGTGGCTTTGGAGCCTGTCCTGGTCCTCCCTCTGTAGACCAGGCTGGCCTCTAACTCACAGATCTTCCTGCCTGTGTGTGCACCACCACTACCGGGCTCAAATCCTTCCTTTTTAAACATCATCTTGAACAGTAAATAGAGCTCAATGTAAAATCTAAAATTAATATTGAACAAAATTAATATTAATTTGGAAACTGTCTCTCCTTTCTGAAAAAGAACAAACCCTCCCAGTGTGGGGTGCACACAGGCAACCCAGCACTTGGGAAGTAGAGGAGAAAGATCAGTTGATGGTATTCCTAGGCTTCTCATTGAATTCTAGGCCAGCTTAGGCTCCATGAAACCCTGTTATAAACCTGGGTCCTAAGACATCACAAAAAGTGTTCTCTGACATTAGCTGAACCTCCTACCTGATGAACAAAGGAGCTAATACACACTGACAGTCACACAGTAATACCTTTGACTCAGCAGTTTAGATTAACTTGACTTTTTTGTCTTTTAAGCACATGAAAATTTTGTTATCTCTTAAAACCCTTCCCAAAGAATCATAAACTAAGGATGACTTTAAAGGCCCTCCTGAAGCCTGTCTCAATACATAAATAGTGGTGATGCTATCAATCCCTTTCTAAATGAAAACAAACTGAACTTTCAGAGCTTTCCTGAAGATGCTGCACTTCTCATCACAGGCCTGAATCTTCAGTATTCATAACTGATGCTCTAATGTCTGAGAACAGACAGTTAGCCAGTACCAAACAGCTTTGGTTTAAATTTGTTCTCCTATTTATCTAAACTTTTCATTTTTATCATTCAGGGATGTCTAAAGTCATGATTAAAAGCACAGCTATAAATGCTATATGCTTCTAAGAAATAATCCATCTTCTAGGCTTAGATAAATCTTTAACAACACCAAGAGTAAAATTGAGGATTTATGTCTTTATCATAAAATTTTTATCTAGGGAGAGGGCCATCTTTCTTACATGAAGAGTTGGTGTTACTACCACAACAATATTCTTTCTACCCATGATATTTTACACAGCATCATTTAAGCACCAAGGAAAAATTCTGTAAACAAACTTTTAACCAGTAAACTAAGGGCAAATATCTATTTGCCTTGATACAATTCTTAAAAGGCCACACATGAGCCTCTACTTCCTATAATGCATTTTTATAATAAAAGTCCAGCCATACTTATGCAAACAACAAAGAATTACTATACATTTATGGAAACCAAAAGTAGACAAACAGACTAGAGCTTTTTAGTTAAAAAGTAAGCACAGGAAACCTATAAAATATATGCTGTGTAGAAAAATTTGGTACTTTCAGTTTCGTGGAAGGGACGGTAATTAGTAAAAAGATGGTGGTGCCACTGGCATTTAGTGATTATGCTGTTAAGAAAGTAGTAAGCACTAAACTAGAAATGTTGTTCCTCCTAGTATGTCTCTTCTCTCACAATGGTGCAAATTATAGCAGTTAAAAGTGGCTCTCTAAAATACCAGCATAACTCCAACACAAAAAATGGATTTCAGCTTGAATAAGTTAAGTCTACAAAGGATTTCTGACATATTGGAAAAAAAATACTGCAGGGCACACAAGGACTGATCTACATGTTACATGACAGAGTGACTCAAACCTTCAAACCTTTGTTGTGCCAGATTTTCTCTGTGGCTATTACAACACGAAGCCGTTTGGCAGCAAGGCAATAAAATAGGAAAAACAAAACGTGGAAAGACGGTATTAGCAGTTTACTGTATGTATGTCAAGGTTGAAAAAAGCCTTAGTGTAGCTCTTCCTTACTGCAGATGGGAAAAGGTTTCCATTTGGCACACTGGAGTTGGTAAGAAAAGCAGAAAGAACTCCGAGTACTTGGTATTCCAATCACAGGGAGCTAAGGTGACAGCAGAAAGGAAACCAGAAAATAAGAGAGTGTAAGAAAAACAGGAGACAGACAACAGCCGGCTCTCCCTGTCTTCCAGTCACTGTTCTGGAATACTTTTACACAATATACAATTTATTATTTACATAATGATTACTATCAATAAAGAACCAGAATCTATTTTTGCTGTGCTCTAACTAACAATGCCTACCGAGAAAACCATGACCACCAGGCAAGAAGGCCTTAAACAAAAACTCCATTCACATTGCATATTTTATTTAGGTCTGTCTTCTTGTTCCTCTTCAAGTTTGGTGCACAAAAAAAGTCCTGTAAACGAAGTCTGAGTTCCTGCAGCTGATAACTTCTCTGAAGCTCATGTTTCTGGTTAAGTATAACGTTCTGCGGGCTTACAAAGGCATTCCTTTAAACAGTGGTGTCTCCAAAGTCCTTGTTCCAGCGTATGTATGCTTCTAGGGTTTGAGGACTCACACTGCGTTTTATCTTTTTTAAGGATTCTGTGAAGTCAGATAGTCGAATATTTCTCATCTAGATTTTAAAAAAAGTGACATAAAAAAGATGAATACACATAAACAATGGATTAAAATGGAAATTTGTCAATTTTATACGATATAGACATATTCTTAGAAAATCATGCTTTTCATCTAAATATATTTTTATATTACATTTTTATATTGCATATTAGGCAAGTTTGCTATATAATAAAAATGTATGCCAATGCACTGTTTATTACTAAGTATACTGAGTAAGTGTACTGATTTGAATGAGAATTGCCCCCCGCCGTGACCCAATGTATTTAAACACTGGATCTAAAGTTGGTGGAACTCTTCCTCTTGAAGGAAGTTTGTCACTGGAGGTGCTCTCTGAGGCTTCAAACCCAAATGACTTAAGGACTGGCCCATGCCAAGTCCATGCGTCTCTTTCTGCCCTGCTACTTGCTGACAAAGACATGAGCGTCCAACTTCTGCTTCAGTACCGTGCTTTCCAGCTACCATGCTGGTCACAGTCGCTAGTTTTCTAAGTGACCTTGCTCATGATGCTGGGTTACAACAGGAACATAACTAAGACAACAACCCAACAGTTCCGTAAGACTGCACACTGGTCGCCTTCTATTTACCACAAGTATATCTGCTAAGTTGGTGCCAGGTTCATCCCCAAGGAGAAGGGATAGTCACGTAAGCGTGCAGTGGGATTGCTGCTCATGTCAGATGCTTGCACATGAAGCTGCCTACTGTTAGTATTGCTGAGGTCCCACTCCAGGCCTTATACATGCAAGACACACTATCACTGAGCTCCACTCCTAGGTACCCCCCAACACTAAACCAACTTCTCATTCAGTGCTTACATAAATTGGTAAGAGAAATGACGGTGCATTTTTTGTTTTGTTTTATTTTTTGAGACAGGGTTTCTCTGTGTAACAGTCCTAGCTGACCTGGAACTTGCGTTGTAGACCAGGCTGGCCTTGAACTCATTGGGACTAAAGGCGTGCATCACCACACCAGACTGTAGATTTTCTTAACCATTACTAAATACAGCATAGTAACTGATTTTATAAGCCTTATATTGAAACATTGCCTTGTTTCTAATGAAAAGGACTAGAGGATGCAAATGAAGAAAATCATAAAACAGTATGTACCTCACTGGCAGACATATTCTTCACCTGCTCTGGTTTCAGTTCTGTAAAACATAAATTAAGCATGTATAAAAACATTCTGAAGTTTAAGTTTCTTTTTGGCAAATAAAAGTACAATGATCTAATAGTACCCGTGTAATACAAATCATTAAAGCCAAGAGAGATTCACATAGAGAGCTCATAAAGCTACAAAGGAGATGTAAGCACTTAATTTCTTGCATATGCCCCAAATAAATTTATAAACTTAAAATAGAACTAAAAAGAATATAACTTGTTGGTTATAAAAGATCTTATTGTTGTTGTTTTGTTTTTGAGACAGGGTTTCTCTGTGTAGCCCTGGCTATACTGGAACTCACTCTGTAGTCCAGGCTGTCCACGAACTCAGAAATCCACTTGCCTCTGCCTCCTGGGTGCTGAGATTATGGGCACGCACCACAACCACCAGGCATAAAAGATTTTTTAAAATTAATATATGTGTATGGGTGGTATGTCTTGTACCACATGCACACCAGAGGAGGCCAGAAGAGGGCACTGGAATCCCCTGGAGCTATAGTTGATTTTAAGTTGCCATGTGGGTGCTGGGAATTGAACTTGGGTCCTCTGTAAGAACAGCCAGTTGGCCAGGTGGGGGTGGCGCACACCTTTAATCCCAGCACTCGGGAGGCAGAGGCAGGCGGATCTCTGTGAGTTCGAGGCTGGGCTGGACCGACAGCCTCCAAAACAATACAGAGAAACCCTGTCTCGTAAAACCAAAAAAAAAAAAAAAAAAAACAGAAACAAACAACAACAACAGCAAAAAACAAAACAAAAATAACAACAACAAAAAAACCAGCCAGTTGTTTTAATTACTGAGTTATCTCTCTGGCACCTAGATCTTTTTTAATCACAAAATTTTGTTTTCTTCATAACCAAATGTTTCCTTTTTTCCCAAAATTTTCTGTTTTTTTGTTTGTTTGTTTGTTTTCGAGACAGGGTTTCTCTGTGGCTTTGGAGGCTGTCCTGGAACTGGCTTGGTAGACCAGGCTGGTCTCAAACTCAAGAGATCCTCCTGCCTCTGCCTCCCGAGTGCTGGGATTAAAGGTGTGTGCCACCAGCGCCCGGCCATACATTTTTCTAATTACTAAAATATCTATAAGATGCAACAGGGGCTGAGACTGTAGTACAAGTAGGTGATAATTCTAACATGAGGCCTTCAATCCACAGCACTGCCAAAGAAACAAACTATCCAGTTATCTTGCTCCTTAGTCATTATCAAGAACTGATACTTCAGAGTTGATCTGCTAATTTCTTTTCCATTTCTACTTTTTTGTTTTTCGAAACAGGGTTTCTTTGTATTATTTTGGAGGCTGTCCTGGAATTCGCTCTGTAGACCAAGCTGGCCTCGAAATCACAGAGATCCGCCTGCCTCTGCCTCCCGAGTGCTAGCATTAAAGACATGTACTATCAACGCCTGGCTCCTTTTTTAATTTTTTTCAGATGTTGTAGTGTTTGCATGCCTGTTTCCTGCAGAGGCCAGAAGAAGGTATCAGAGCCCAAGGAACTGGGGTTACAGATGGCTGACAGCTACCTTGTGGGTGTTGGAAACTGAACCTGGGTCCTATGGAAGAGCTCTCTAAACCACTGGGGCATTGCGTCAGCCTCTGTTCCCCATTTCTATTCCTGACTAAGAATAAAAGTTCCATTCATTGCTCGGTGGGTGCTTAGTCTTATTTATTTGCTCTGCAATTCTCAGAGGGAAAACAGCATGGAGGTAGAAACTTAACAGATTCAGCAAGTCAAATCTGATCAGTTACACTTCTCATTGGAGAATCACTTTCTGTAAATTAAAGTGTTTCAATCAAATGAAGGAACATCAGGGGCTAACTTTATTTTTCTGGTATCCATTTGAATCACACCAGTGGATGCTTTTTGAGAAGATGCAGACTCTGTGGGTCCCACCCACGGGATGACTGCTTCCAGGGGGTGGGACAGTGTTCCCATCATGATGGTTTCCAGCCTTAGGGTCTTACTTCTGGGAGATACTTCTGTTGTGAAGGACTCTCCACCTCATGGGGGCTTGTCTTTGGGAAGTTCAGAGGCATTCCGTCTACAAATGTGGGCTTCTAACAGGGAGCTGGAAGTCAGTGTCCCTGTGAGGACCTGGAGTGTTTTGTAGATCAAGACTTGGGTTGGATATACGTCCTGCTATCATGTTTATGTATATGCAGTGTCTTTGGGCTGGGAGACATTATGTGCTGCTGATTGCTTCCTCGGATTCCAGACAGTCAGTTTGACCTTTTTTGCCATTCACGAGACAGGGTTTCTCTGTATTGTTTTGGAGGCTGTCACTCCAGCCCAGCCTCGAACTCACAGAGATCTGCCTGCCTCGGCCTCCCGAGTGCTGGGATTAAAGGTGTGCGCCACCAACGCCCGGCTAAAGTCTTATTTTATTTCTATTTTACATGCATGTCTTGCTTATGAGATGAGTGACTACTAGTGCATGCAGAGGCCAGAAAGTAGGCTAGATTCCTAGAACTGGAGTTGAAATGTGGCCCTGGGAATTGAACCCCAGTTCTCTCAAGAGAAAGTCAGTGCTCTCAACTCAGCTATCTTCCCAGTCCCCCTCCTCTTTCTTGAGACAGACTCTCATATGCAGCTCATACTGGCTAACTTTAAACTTCCAGAGATCTACCTGCCTCTGCCTCCCTAGTGCTGGCATTAAAGGCACATGACACATACGTAGCTGTAAAGTTTTTTAAACTATTACCTTATAACTCTGGTTTAAAAAAATTATTGTGATTATACTATATTTAATACCCCTTATATCCATCCACAAGATATGTGAATATATACATATGAGTGCTGCATATGTGTCTTATAACAGCTGGGCATGGTGGCACATACCTTTAATCCTAGCACTTGGGAGGCAGGTAGATCTCTATGAGTTTGAGGCCAGCCTGCTCCATACAGTGAGTTCCTGGATAGCCAAGACTACGTAGAAAGACTCTGCCTCAAGCAAACAAGTAAAACTAAAGTCAATATATGCAACATAAATACTGTTTTATTTTATATTATATGCACTGTATGTGGATGCCTATATATGAGATAAAGAAATAAAATTTTTATGATTGCTGCTGCATTTATTAAATACATTCTGATGGGGGAAACCTGACCATTTGGGCAGCCTTTCCATTTAAAGCCTACTTTGTATCAATATGCTCTAACTTAGTGTTGTTTCGTTTGTACACCCATGAGATACACTTACATACCAGGTAGTAAGACTATTTGTAGTCACTATCACTGTTCTTAAAACTTATGAAGGCATCTACTACAGCAGTTCTTCATCTAAAGATTGCTGTGTAAATTCCTAACAGGGGCATCATATCCAAACTCAGGGCTGCATGGTGATGAAAGGTTTCAGACAGCAAGAAAAGGTTTTAAAAAGGGGCATGGTGAAATGCTCATGGGTTATTTTCACATGTTCTTTAGCCTGCTTTACATCTTAAAGATTTACTATTATTATAATTCATCATTATGTGTGTGTATGGTGCTGTACGGGTGAAGAGAGGCTCCAGAGGAATTTAGAGGCACTGTGTCTCCCTGGAGCTGGAGTTACTGGCAGTTGTGAGTCATCTGACATGGGTGCTAGGAACTGAACTCAGGTTCTCTCAACCTAGTTTTGCATTTTGAAAGTTGTTAATAAAGAAAAGACGAGGAGCATGCAACAGAGAATACCTTTTCCAAAAAGCCTAAACTATTTCCTTTGATCTATTTCACAAAAAAATACCTACTGACTTCTACTCTAGATAATGTTTTGTATCAAACTTTGTACTAATACAACTTTATTTCTTTTACACTGATGACTCAGTGGATAAGAGCACTGGCTGCTCTTACAAGAGGACCTGGGTTCCATTCCTAGCTCCCACATGACAGTTCACACTTGGCTGTAACTCCAGTTCTAGAGGATCTGATGCCTTCTTTTGACTTCTGTAGACACTGCATGCACATGGTGCAAATAAATATGAGGCAAAACTCTGGCGGAGCCTTTGATCCCACCCAGCACTCAGGAGGCAGAGGCCAGCCTGGTCTACAGAGCAACTTCTAGAAAACCAGGGCTGTTACACAGAGAAACAAACAAAGGCAAAACTCTCATGTGCATAAAATAAATAAAATGTAAAACTATGTATCTTTCAAGAGGCTAGACTTACAGGGTACCATTCATAGCTCTAGTGTTTCAAATGCTTTCATACTTACCTCGGATAGGGCCCAGGGCTGCATCTTTTGCCAAAGCTGTTAGATCACTTCCAGAGTACCCATCAGTCATTCTGAACAGGAAGCAGGAGATAGCAAGTTATCTTCCTTGCAGATTAAAACTTTCCTGTAATCCCACATCTCATTAGGTACAGGAAGAAGCATCACAAGCTTGAGACTAACCTCAACTATACAGTGAGACAAAAAGTCCCAACAGAAAGAACACACAAAAATCCCTACATGAGAGGTAAGCTAAAGTTACACAGCTTGATTTTTCATTCTTCTAAAATATACTTATGTATGTGTATGTGTGCCTGCTTGTATGTATGCACAGAACTGTGTGTGCACACGCCCATAGGCCAGAAGAAGGCATGTATCCTCTGGGGCTGGAGTTACAAGTGGTTGTGAGTCACCCAAGTGGGCGCAGGGAACTGAACATAGGTCTTTTGTAACAGTAGTCAGTGCCCTTAACTGTTCAGTCATCACTCCAGTGCCATGATTTAATTTTTTTAAGGGTACAGGAAGGCCCATTTAAGGACAATACAATCTAAAATTCACTCCTTGTAACACCTCTAATTTTCAGCATTAGAGAACCATTCCTTTAAATCAGTCCAACCTGAAGCCTATGTGCATCTGCAGACAGCTATGAATGAGGCCAACATACTCATAGATGACAACGTCACATGCAATGTCAAAATACAGAACACCTCTGCTTTAAGGTAAGTTATACTGAGGCAGGTCACATAAACACATCACCTGGGAAGGTCAAATTTATAAGCTATTAGTAGCAAATCAACACACAATTACTTCTTTTTCTTTTCTTTTTTTTTGGGGGGGGAGGAGATTGAGACAAGGTTTCTCTGTATTGTTTTGGAGGCTGTCCTGGAATTTGTTCTGTAGACCAGGCTGGCCTCGAACTCACAGAGATCCACCTGCCTCTGCCTCCCGAGTGCTGGGATTAAAGGCGTGCACCACCAATGCCCAACAACATTTTTCTTTTTCTAAGAAAAGGGTTTTTTATGTAGCACACTACCTCCCAAGTGCTGGGATTAAAGGAATATGCTACTATGTCCAGCCACAAATACTTGTTTGGTAAGTTAATTAGTCTCCTTACTGGCAAAGAGTACCCCCTTAATGAGGTGAGACCAAAAAAATGTGGATTTCTTTAAATGAGGGCAGAAAAGATAAAGCAGTGTTTGGCATCTGAAACAATTGACAAAGGAGGCACACCTGAGTAGGATGCCTCAGCAGGGGGAGGAGCCTTTTATGGGCATTTAGGAGCTCGATATTCTTATGAAATTACAATTCAACCACTTAAGGGATTTTGTTTTGTTTGTTTTCTGGTTTTTCAAGACAGGATTTCTCTGTGTAGCTTCCAGAACTCGGAAGGCAGAGGCAGAGACAGGCTGATCTCTGTGAGTTTGAGGTCAGTTCCAGGACAGCCAGGGCTGTTACATGGAGAAACCCTATTTGGGTGGGTAGAGGGTGCTGGGCTATATGCTACATATTAGTAAGACTCTGTCCTTTAAATGGGGTTCCCAGAAAAGGCCTCACTGAGAAAACAACTCATTTTGTTTTATATTCATGGCCAGGCTGGCCTCAAACTTGCTATGTATAGCAAGCATAACCTTGAAGCCATCCTCCAGCTACTTGAACTATTCCTGCCTGCGGTCAGTGTCTACTTAAGTACCCTGAAAAAGTATTTCATATGTAGTCTACCATTTATCAGGCTCAGCTCCCCTCCCCTTACCCTCTCCTCAGCCTTACTGCACAATTCAGTTCAAATAACGAAATACTGTTATGAGTGGGCTTACTACAAGTCCCAAATCTTTGGTATCTGACCCGCTTGTGATCTGATAATGCCGCCAGTCTTCTACAAGAAGCCCCTGACCCAGTGCTCCTGTTAGCAAGTGTCTGTCTAGTAAGCGTCATACTGAGGCGACAGTAAAGCAGCAGCACTGTTTGGGAAGGGACGCTGACACAGTCACCTCTCAGGAACCAGGGTCACCAGAGAACCGCCTCCAGGCCATGGTAGGGCACCGAGGAGGGATGGATAAGGCAGAAAGAAGGCAGTCTTAAGGGAAGGAGGCGCTTCCTCATGAGGGAACGAGAAGAAAAGGCCCGAGGGATGGTCTTCAGAGGAACCACCCAGTCACCCCCAGCCACATATGAAATGCTTGTGATGGGGTCAGAGTAGTCTCTAGCCTTCACTGCAAGACACGGCAGTGAGAGCTGCTATTCCTATGTCACGGCCTTCTGGGTGTTGAGATTCTACTGCTTCTAGCTTCTAGCTCCTGAGTGCTTGGAAAAAGGTGTGCATCACCACACTCAGCTTCCCTATGTTTAAGAGTATGTTTTCAGATAAACAAGTTTATGTGATTCTACCTACCACAAAAGAGCAACTGTGTATGAAAATACCTGTGCTGCTCTCAAATATGAAAGGATTTTACTTTTCAAATTATTTTAGTATTATTTAAAAGCTTTATTTATAGAAAGACTATAATGTCATTAGATACTTAGTTCAGGTCTAGTATAAGACAGAAATTAAAATTCCATTATATCAGGAAGAGGAGGAAGAAAACAAAGGAAGCAAAAGACAAGAAGTTTTGTGGTAAATGAACTGCTCAATTCTTTAAAATGCTTGTCTTACTCAAACAATTTTTATATTAGCTCATTTCAAACAGCAAAGAAAGAGAAATCTTTACAAATGGATTTTTTTTTTTTGTTTGTTTTTACGAGACAGGGTTTCTCTGTATTGTTTTGGAGGCTGTCGGTCCAGCCTGGCCTTGAACTCACAGAGATCCGCCTGCCTCTGCCTCCCGAGTGCTGGGATTAAAGGCGTGCGCCACCACCACCTGCCTGAGAAATCTTTACAAATGAAACAGATGCCGTAAGACAGATGAATCAGATGAATAACACCACTCACCTAGCCAGTTGTGCAAGTTCTTTTTGGGTCAGTGGACTTCCTTGTTTACATAACAGGTTTTTAAGGAGAAGCAATCTTGTCTGAAAGTAAGTATGAAAGAATGATCAGTAAGGACCAACTTGATAACAGAATTATAAAAAACTAAGAATTAGCTTAATGTAATATTCGAGAATCAAGTCCTGATTATTTCTGCCTGTTAAATATAAGAACAACTATCTGTGAGAATTAGTGAGGGAATTTCTGAAGACTCCAGATAGAGCACTTGATGTTACTATCAAGCATGCTAAGGGCCTGAACTAGAGAACTACAGCTTTTTACAGAGATTTATTTATTTTCATTTACATGTATGAGTATTTGCCCAAATGTATGTATGTGGACTACAAGTGTGTCCTGGCCCACAGACGCCAAAGAATGGTGTCTGGTCCCTGAAAGTAGAGCTATGGATGGCTGTGAGCTGCCATGTGGGTATGGGAACAAGCCCACAGGGCAAGAGCAGCAAGTGCTCTCAACCACTGAGCCATCGCTCACGTCCAAGAAATTCAATGTTTTCTAAAAGGTTTATTGACGTGTGATTTTAAATAGTGAGAATTTCATATATTATAGGAATATAATTCAAATGACTTCCAATTATGCAGAACTACAAAACCATTACTATAATAAAAATTTACGTTATTTGTTATCCTGGAAATTCACTCACGCCTGTTGGCAATTAATCCCCATTCCTACCTAAACTCCTATCTGATGGTATTTCTAGAAATCTGTTTTTCCAAATACTTAATTGAAAAGGGAAAAAATTGGGGCAAGAGAGACAGTTCTTCCAGAGGCTCCAGGTTTGATTCCCAACACCTACATGGCAGCTCACAACTATCTGTAACTCCAGTGTCAGAGGATCTGATTCCTCTTCTGGCCTGTCTGGGACCCAAATACACGTGTGGTACACAGATAGACAGCAGGCAAAACACACATTCACAAAACTTCAAAGACAAGTAGGTAAATAAAACAATAAAGTCAAATAATATATAGTTAGTGTGTATATGGCTCCTCTCCTTTATTATAGTTTTTGAATTTTGTTCATATTAAAGAATGTAATATGTACAGATAAGAATTATTTTCAGTCCTGTGGATCAAGCCCACAGCCCTATATATGCTTGACAAATGCTCTATTTCTAAGCTACATCCCAAGCCCTAGATAATGAAAATATTTTTTTTTTAACTAAATAGCACTCATTAACTGGGCATGCCACATCTGTTTATCCATTCAGCAATTGATGGACTTTTTTTTGTAGGTTGAGGCTATTATTAAGACAGTTGCGTTAATACTGTTGGACCATGTTTTCCTACCATGGAGAAGTTTTCATTTCTCTTGGATAAATGCTCAAGAATTGCTGGGTCTTCTTTAAGTTTGTGGTTATTATTTTAAGAAACTGACAAGCTTTCTTTTTAAGATTTATTTATTTAATTTTTTTTTTTTTGGTTTTTCAAGACAAGGTTTCTCTACGAAACAGTCCTGGCTGTCCTGGAACTTGCTCTGTAGACCAGGCTGGCCTCAAACTCAGAGATCTCCCTGCTTCTGCCTCGAGAGTGCTGGGATTAAAGGTGTTCACCACCACTGCCTGACTTAAGATTTTTATCATATTTGTGTATGGGCATTTTCACTTGTATGTATGTATGCGCACCACATGTATGCACTGCCCATGAAGGCCAGAAGACAGTGTTGGATCTTCTGGAACTAGTCACAGTTGTAAACCCCCAGTGGGTGCTGGGAATTGAACCCTGTACTCTGGAAGAGCAGCCAGTCAGTGCTCTTAACTGCAGAGCCATCTCCCCAACAGAAGAAAATGGCTATACCACAGAATTACAAATACAATATTGTCAGGATGGCACTTTAATAAAAAATAGAAATATGAATATGCTTACCTCCTCATTTGGTAAAGACACATATACCCGTTTTATGAAACGCCTGTAAAGTCAATTAGAAATATAAATTTGAAATTATAGGCAACTCAGATCAAATGACAACTGACAGGAAAAAGCCGTTAGTATGCTATCTGAAGCAACTAAAAGCTCTTTCTGATTATTACTATGAAACGGTATTCTCCTTTTTTTAGTGTGGGTGGCTTACCTACAATTGACCTACGACTTTACACATGCTAGACAACCCTATTCTGCTGCCCTTCTTTCTTACTTTATCTTAAGACTTATGTTCATTAAGATGCCCATGTTGGCCAGGCGTTGGTGCCGCACTTGGCAGGCAGAGGCAGGCAGATCTCTTGTGAGTTCTCATATGGGGCTATATGAGATCCTATTTCAAAGACCCAAAGATATAACAACAACAACATCATCATCATCATGGCAGGCAGTACTCAGGAGGCAGAAGCAGGTGGGTCTTTGGCTTAAAGGTCAGCCTGGTCTATAGAGGAAGTTCCAGGACAGTCACAGATACATAGTGAGACCCTGTCTCAAAAAAAAAAAACAAAACAAAAACAAAAAAACAAACAAAAACAGCCGGGCAGTAGTGGTAGAGGCAGGCAGATCTCTGAGTTTGAAGCCAGCCTGGTCTATAGAGCGAGTTCCAGGACAGCCTCCAAAGCTACACAGAGAAGCCCTGTCACAAAAAACAAAACAAAACAAAACAAACCACAACCCCCCCCAAAAAAACCAAAACCAAACAAACAAACAAAAACTGCCCAAACTCCAAAAGCAAAAACACAACAACAAAACAAAATCAATGATGGTCAATGAGTAGAAGTACTTGGTGTCAAGCCTGGTGACCTTACTTTGACCTCTACATCATGGTAGAAAGAGCCAGAGGACTCTGGGAAGATGTCCTTAATTTCTGTGCACACACTCATATGTGTGTGCATTTTTCACCCAAATAAATGTAATTTAAAAAAATGGCAGGGAAGTTGCACCCATGAAATTTCAATATGATTGCCTAAAATGGAAACCTGAAAAATGACACCACCAATTGGCATGAAACGTGGATGGGAAAAATCTCGCATGGCTCGATGCCTAGATGAAGAGCTACAGGAATCAATGCTGATGAAAGAGGGAGAAACAGTCTTCTTCAGGGACAGTACACTAAAATAATAACAATAAAAAGTTCTCCAATCCCATGCAGTCAGATACATGTGAGCAACACTATGTGAACTCGGTAGGAGGTGTGTGTGTGTGTGTGTGTGTGTGTGTGTGTGTGTAGAGAGAGAGTCAGAGAGAGAGAGAGAGAGAGAGACACAGAGAGAGAGAGAGAAAGAGGCAGAGAAAGAATGAGAATGAGTAGAGAATACAGGGCCATGAAAAAGAAAATCAACATGGGTTCAAGACTTCTACCCTGCCAATAGCCAGTTACAGAAGCAGCTATGTAATGTTATATATAAATGCCTTGAGAAAAAGAAATCTAGGAACTGAATACAGAGCCAAAGATTTTTTTCCTCCGGCACACAGAGTTAATTTGCTCAAACACTCAAGAGTTGAGAGCAATTCTGAGAATTCTGCTTTGATCAGCTTCCTACAAAGCCTAGTAAGAGGCTAAGGACTGCTGTTAGGTCCCAGCACTTGGGAGTCAGTGGTAGGCAGAAATCTGTGAGTTTGAGGCCAGCCTGGTCTACAGAGTGAGTTCCAGGACATCAAGGACTACACAGAGAAACCCTGCCTTGAAGGGGGAAAAAGGAAGGTAAGGAGTGATTTTAGACTTCAAAGTTAATGTAATGCAATGTAAAAGAAATGATTTATCTAAATGTAGTCTGTAGAGAATAGTTTTAATAATGTCCTAGGTTTGACCTCATTTGCTATAGTTGACATCACCAGGACAGCGGACAACACAAGGAGGACAAATCATTTAGTTTCAACGCTGTGAATATAGGATATAAGAGGTAGGTGAGAGGGCTGGAGAGATGGCTCAGCCTTTAAAGCGAGGCTCACAACCAAATGTAAGAGGTAGCTGAGATGACCCTGAGTGTGGTGGCACGCTCCTTTAGTTCTCGTATTAGGAAGGCAGAAACAGGCAGATCTGAGTTCCAGGCCAGCCAGGGGTAAGACCTTGGTACCCTCTCCTTCAAAACAAAACAAAATAAACAAACAAACAAATAAGAAAAAGCAAACAAAACAAAACGCACTCACTACCTGAGAACGGCTTCATCAAGCTCTTGGGGCCTATTAGTTGCACCCATTACAAGTACTCTGTCATCTCCAGCAGATTGCACCTGCAAGCCAAAACGTTTTGTCAGTGTTTTAGATTTAAAAAGGCACTATACAAACACCTATTTAGATAGTTTGGGTCATGTAGTAGCAAAGTATACATATTAAAGTATTGCCACAGTAAAAAATATAACCAGTGGCTAGAGAGATGGCTCAGGGGTTAAGAGCGCTTGTTGCTCTTACAGAAGGTTGGGTTTCATGGCTGCTCAGAACCATGTGTAACTAGTTTTGGGGCTCTTATGCACACTTCTGGCCTCAGTAGGTTCCTAAACACATATGGTGCACAAAAACTCATGCAGGCAAATGCACAAACACATACAGTAATTTTAAATCTTAAAAATATGTATCTGCACATATACAGCTTATCAATACTTACACCATCAAATTCTATTAAAAATTCAGTTTTGAGTCGTCTACTAGCATCGTGCTCTCCTTCTCTTCTTTCACACAAAAGACTATCGACTTCATCTAGAGGAAAGGCAGAGAGAGGGTTTAAGACCAATCCAGGTAAGTCATCTAGTATTTATCTAGTTAGTACTTACTAATGGTTAGTCCTGCTGAATTCATATTTTAAAAAAGTTATCCTTCTGAATAGCTTTGAGCAAACTTCTCATACTTGGAAAATGGGATTTCATAAATGTTCAACTTAGTTGGGAAAGTACTTACCTATGAAAATTATAGATGGTTGAAGTTCTCGAGCCACAGCAAAGAGAGCTCTCACCAATTTCTCTCCTTCTCCCACCTACAAGGAATGACACATTCTTAAAACATATGAATGCAACAATATTCCAGTTTTTGTCATGACTTAAAATTTAACTTCATGATCTCATGATATATTCCAATGCTGTAACAAAGCGTAGAATTTTAGAAACCACACTATTTACTTTTTCAAATTAAGGCTTAATGTGAAATATTTCAATCTTACAGTGTACCAGTTCCATACATACTATAAACATCCAAGACAGAACTATTCAGAGTGTGTATGTATGTGCGTGTGTGTACACTATATGCATATAGTACCATTATCTTGGTGCTCTCTCTTTTTGAGACAGGGTCTCTCAGTGGCCTAGACTTCAGTAAGTCAGCTAGTCTGGGCTGACCTATAAGTTCCAGAGATTTGGCTGTCTCCATCTCCCCAGCTGGAATCACAAAGACAGGCTACCATGTCCACCTTTTTTAGTGTGGATTCCAGAGCTCAAACTCTGATCCTCATACTTGTATAGCAAGAACATTATTGACTGAGTTAGGTCCCAGTTCTTAAACTCTGCAGGTATGGCTGCACTACCCCCTAACTGAATACCACTGGAGTCAGAGGAAGGAAAAGTAGAAAGGAAATCTAAACTGTGATATAAAGCAATAAAACAAAACAAAACAGAAAAGCCAGGCATAGTGGCATATGCTTTTAATCCAAGGCCTCGGGGGCAGAGGCAGGAAGATTTCTATGAGTTTGAGGCCAGCCTTGTCTAGAGAGTGAGTTTCAGAACAGCCAGGGCTACATATAGAGACCCTATCTTAACAAAACAAAAAACAAACAAAACAAAACAAACAAACAAACAAAAACACCCAGGAGAAGCCTTATGTCATACTTTAGAGTCAAAGAGCAGGGAATAGCCGGGCACACGGGAGACAGAGCCAGGCAGATCTCTGTGAGTTTGAGACCAGCCCGGTCTACAAGAGCTAGTTCCAGGACAGCCTCCAAAGCTACAAAGAAACCCTGTCTTGAAAAACCAAACCAAACAACAAAAAATCCAAAAGAGCAGGGAATATTCAATTTACTGTAAGTCCTGTTCTCACCCATATCTCTCTAGATAGTCACATTAGGGAGCTTAAGTAGAAGTGATGGTATTTATTACAGCCTAAATTATATGTTGCCCCCAAACACACTGGAGTCCTAGCTTTAGTGTTTATAAATGAAGACTCTACTTGGAAACAGCATCCTTACAGATGGTCAAATTAAGCTGAGGTCATTAGGGTGAGCCCAGATATTACAAGAGACTCTCATGTGATAATACAGGAAGATGCATTTGCAAGCCAAGCACTTCCAGGGACTGTCAGCATACCAGAAACTAGGAGGCCTGCGACACACTCACTGCTGTGGCTCCCAAGAGGTATTATGACTGTTAACACTTAAGCCTTGCACCTCCAGTCTTCTCTGTATTCTCACATCCTATTTGTTTGTGCAATGTTTCTGATATCTGACCAGTCAACCTCAGCACTTCGTTAACCTAGGCCTACCAAACCATGACAGGATTCAGCAATGCAATTCTAATTTTAAAATAGCTAAAAAGTAGCCAGGCGTTGGTGGCACACACCTTTAATCCCAGCACTCGGGAGGCAGAGGCAGGCGGATCTCTGTAAATTCGAGACCAGCCTGGACTACCAAGTGAGTTCCAGGACAGCCTCCAAAGCCACAGAGAAACCCTGTCTCAAAAACCAAAAAAAAAAAAAAAAAAAAAAAAAAAGCTAAAAAGTGCACTCAATTTTCTACCTTGAAGAGTAATACTCATTATGCATAAGTATACAGTCATAAAACTCATAGAAAAATAATTTTCTGTGTTATCCTTTTATTTAAATAGCATTTAAGGCAGTAATTTAAAAACATCACAAGAAGCCGGGCGTTGGTGGCTCACGCCTTTAATCCCAGCACTCGGGAGGCAGAGGCAGTCGGATCTCTGTGAGTTCGAGGCCAGCCTGGTCTACAAGAGCTAGTTCCAGGACAGCCTCCAAAGCCACAGAGAAACCCTGTCTTGAAAAACCAAAAAAAAAAAAAAAAAAAAAAAAAACAAACAAAAAAAACCACCACAAGAGCACTTACGTATTTTGAAGTTAAGCTTGCAGCACTTATATTGAAAAAGGTGGCATTAGATTCTGCAGCTACTGCTTTTGCCTGTGAGATCAAAAGAGTAAATTTGTTAGCTGAACGTCCTGATCTTTTAAGACAGCTACATCTCATCCCAGAAGTACCAGGGCAGAAGCGTGATGTGACTCTCAGCATCGACTAAGACAAGTCTACACACTACGCTTCCTTCCCAGGGAAAGATCCAGGGCCGACTTCTCTTCTCTTGGCAGGAAGATAGTGGCCAGAGACACAGGCAAGGGGAGCTGACTCTTCTCCTGTTGGGTTTGTTCTTTGAGAGCACATCTCACTCTGTAGTCATGGCTAGCTTGGAACTTATGGCACAGCCCAGGCTGGCCTTGAACTCAGTGAGATTCTCTTGCCTCTGCCTCCCCAGTGCCACCCACCATGCCTTTAATATCTATTTGTTTTTACAGCTCAGAAGAATTATACAGAGAGAGGTATTCAGATTTTGGTTTAAAAAATCTCTGGGCAGGATGAAATGACAGACTCTGGAGATCCTCCATAACGGGCCTCACCCTCCCTGGGGATCGGAGTGGAGATTGGGTGAGGGACGGGGGGCCTGGTGGGAGAGGCAGGAGAGGAGGGAAGGGAGAGGGAGCTGAGATTGACACGTGAAGCAAGCTTGTTTCTAACTTAAATTAAAAAAGGAAGGAAAAAAAAACCTCTGGACAAAGGACAATCAAGGAAACCAACAGTAAACTAACTGGTCAAACAAACTTGTTACGATGGAAAAATTCCAAGTGTCACTAGACAAATCCTCAGAATAGGAAGATAAGCTCTTCTGCAAAACAAAGCCAAAACATGCTACTGAGAGTAACACATGGTTTTCCATTTATTTTTGCATGAAAACTACTTTAAAAAGTCAGGAGGTATATTACAATTAAGTCATAAATAATAGGTTCAGAAACAACACAAAGCTTCTTTTTTCATATGAGTCCTACTATCTCAATAGCATCCTCGGCCTTGATAACATTCTTACCAGCATTGTTTTTCCGTTTCCAGGTGGACCGAAGAGTAACAGCCCTCTGGCAGGAGCTCTGAGTCCTGTGAACAACTTTACAAAACACCAGTTACAGTCTTGATTCTAGAAAGCTAATCTAGATATGTCAAGTATTTACCATTTGTTACCTAAAAATATCTTTCTTTGGGGAGTGGGGTGGGGTGTGATAGAGTCTCACTATGTATTATACAATTATCTACTTTTCTCATGAAAGTTAAAATGGATTCAGAATTTCTTAAATCCATTCTTATCTCCTATAACAAGTTATCAACAGCAAATGAGAAAGCCTCTTGCGAGGGAGGAGTCAGACATGTCATGCTATCTTATGGCCCAGGCTGGTCCAGAATTCACCGTGGAACCCATTCTAGCCTCAAGTTCAAGGTGCTCCTGCCTCAACCTCTTCAGCTGGGTGCTTGGTACATCATCCCCAGACTTTAATGTTGGTAGTTTTTAAAGTACTGAACTTGGTATTATTTAATATGAACAAATCATTTGATAACATAAAATCCTTACCTCAGGCCGCAGAGAAGGAAGAATAACAATTTCTTGCAGTGCTTGTTTTGCCAATTCCTGACCGGCTATATCATCAAATTTAACAGCTGTCCCACTAAAAAATAGAACACCAGTTAATTTCACAACAGAAATATGGTTCAGCTTCTTCACTGTGGTATATAAGCCTAACATAGTCATTTTTATGTTAACTGCGAAACTTGTTTGTTCACAAAAATCTTCAAAACTGGGGCTGGAGAGATGGCTCAGTGGTTAAGAGCACTGGCTTCTCTCCCAGAGGGCCTGGGTTCAATTCCCAGCAGCCACATGGAAGTTGACAACTGTCTAATTTCAGTTCTAAGGGACCCACACCCATACACATAAAAAAAAAAAAGACAAATAAACAAAAAACCGCTGTCATAGCCAGGCAGTGGTGGTACATGCATTTAATCCCAGAACTTGGGAGACAGAGGCAGGCAGATCTCTGAGTTCAGGGTCAACCTAGTCTACAGATCAAGTTCCTGGAGTTCCAGACAAGCTACAAAGAGAAGCCCTGTCTGGAAAAACAAATAAAAAACCAAACAAACAAAATAAAAAAATCTTCAAAACTACCATAAAAATTAATGATGAAAGTAAACAAAATAGTTATTGTATATCACACATATGTATTTTACAAATAAAAATAAGAAATAGAAACTGAAATGCTTGGCAAACTTACTTGTCAACAATTTCATTCATTATGAGGTTTGCCAGGTTGCTGTCCACATTCCTGAAATTTTTCAAGTCTTTCTTTTTACGAACAGCCATTGTGGGTGTAGAAGGTTTGTTGGTTCTGTTTGCTTTTGGATTACCCTTGAGGGACACAAAAATTTAATGTGAAACAACCTAGACTTTTCTCTCCTAAAGGTTGGTGGATTTTAATAGAAATAGGAAACAGGAAGCTGGAGAGATGCTCAGTTACTGAAATGGTTGGTACACAACATTGAGAACTGGAGCTCAGGTCCTGAGCACTCACATAAGCCAGCCCTGCGCTCATCTGTAACTCAGCTGGCAGGGTCAGGGACGGGTGGCTCCCTGGAGCTCGCAGAACAACTATTTTAGCAGAAGGTGTGAGCTCCAGGTGCAAAGTGATGAGGAGATTATCTGAAGTCTACTTTTGGTCTCCATACACAGGCAAACACAAGCAAAAAAAATGTAAGACTGCAAAGATTGAGTATTTAACCCAAAACATTTACTATTGAACGGACATTTGACATGAAGAAGGCTAATAGATTTTATCCAGATATTCAATTGCTAAAAAAGACAAAGAGGCAAGGCAGTTAAGAGCTTTCACTGGAACATCAGGAGGAATGATGTCAGCATTCACATAACATCCCAGTTGTCCTGTACATGCCTATAATCCCAGTTCTGAAGGCAATGGAAACCAGAAGACTGCCAGGGCCCGCCAACAATAAATAAGCTCTAGGTTCAAGGGCGGGTTCTTCCTCCAGGGATAGACACCCAGCACCCTCTCTAGCCTTCCACGGTGAACACACACACACTCTCTCCCCCAACCCAAAGTTTAAAAGAAATATCACCTATCTTTGACTTTTGTTAGAATTACAACAAAAATCTAGGTATGTTAATATTCTAAAATTTGTAAACTCTAGCTAGTCGGTGGTGCATGCTTTTAATCCTAGTACTCAAGAAGCAAAAGCAAGAGGATCTCTGTGAGTTCAAGACCAGACTGTTCAAAAGAATGAGTTTCAGGAAAGCCAAGGCTACACACAGAAACCCTGTCTTGAAAAACCAAAACAAATAAATAAGTAATAAAAGTTACATAATTTGAAATAATTCTAAAACTAGAATTAAAATGACATAAAACATTATACTGAAAAGACTTGGTAAGTAAACAATATAAAATTCCTAATTATTCTAAAAGGAACTAAGATTTTAATAGCAAATAGTTTATGTAAATTAAAAATTAAATTTAACTTTGTGAGCCGGGCGTTGGTGGCGCACGCCTTTAATCCCAGCACTCGGGAGGCAGAGGCAGGTGGATCTCTGTGAGTTCGAGACCAGCCTGGACTACCAAGCGAGTTCCAGGACAGCCTCCAAAGCCACAGAGAAACCCTGTCTCGAAAAACCAAAAAAAAAAAAAAAAAAAAAAAAAAAAAATTTTTAACTTTGTGGAAACCAATCAATTCTATAAAGTGTAACTAATACAACAAGGTTTTGTACTTGCAACACGCAATTACAGTCTCTGTCTAGAGTACCTTATGCATGGCACCTGCAGGCCCAGGTCCCTGTCTTCCTCCAGAAACTGTGGATAAACCGCTGCAACTAGGCGCCCTGTGGTGGCCTGAGAGGCCCGTGGGTCCACCTTTCATGACTGTTTTTGATCGAGGCAATGAATTACTAGCATGTGTTGCAGGATCTTTCTTCTTTGGAACTGCTCCACTTTCTATCAAGGAAAAAAACATACAGCCATCATGATTAGAAACTTTGACTATACGGATAAAAGTAATAGTAATAATTTATAATATTTACCACAACCAAAAAAACTAACAAATTTGCAAAACAAGGTACCAGCAGTTTACAATTTGTATTTATTACTACTGTGTGTGTATGTATATGATGTATGTATGAGTGTGGGCGGGCACACATGTCATGGCACATACAGAAATCAGAAGACAATTTTCTGACTTTGGTTCTCATCTCCTGCCATGTGGGTCCCAGGAGTCAAACTCAGGCCATCAAACTTGTGCAGTAAGAGCCTTTATCTGCTGAGCCATCTCACCGGCCCTCAATAAAGGTTTTTAAATCCAGACGTATTTCAAACTGAGGTCAGAAAATAAACCAGGATGTCATGGGAATGGTTACTAGGAAAAGATTTGGTTATGAGATTTGCCCTCCCCTGTTGTAGATTCTAATTTTCTTATGAAGAAATGCATTTGGAAAAACAACTTGTGAGGGAAGACATAAGAAAAAAGATACTGAGCAAATAAAGCTCCCAGATAACTAAGAAACAGAATGCATGCAAGCACCAGGATGCACTACACAGAGAAAACCGCAACACCGCACTACCTGATGTCACTTTCATGTGTGCCGTCTACATGCTGTGTGGCCGTGCGCGTGTGGAGGCCAACTTGATGTCATGTATCCTCCTCAGTCAGTCTCAACCTCACTGAACCTGGACTCATCAACTGGCAGTGAGCTCCGGCACCTCACCCCTCTGGCATACAGCTCCATACTGCCATATCTGGGTTTTACGTAGGCGCTAAGGACCTAACTCAGGTACTCATGCTTGGGTGACAGGCACTTCACTGACTGAGTTATCGCCCTAGGCCATAACTGCAAACCTTTATGGCTATGAAATATGAAAGACCACAACTCATGACCACTAAAAGCTTTGTTTTGGTTAACCAATTTTAATTGAAACAATATAAAGTTGTAGCCTTCAGTATGCCAAGCATTTTATGTGGTATGTATATCACACTCAAAGTAAATAAATGAGAAAGTTATAGGCTTTTAATGCTCAAAGATCACAACCTCTAAGATATAACTATTATCCCTATGAAACAGAAACCAGTGTTTACTAATATGATGTTTATTGTAAAGACAAATGTTAAGCCAAACAAGTATGGTGTCTGAGCCAGGGAAGATCTCTTTGAATTTAACAATAACCTGGGCTTCATGAGTTCTAGGCCATCTGGGGCTACAAAGTATGAAACTATGTTTAAGAAAAAGAGAAAGCTGGGTGTAGTGGGGCAGAGGCAAGAGAATTTCTGTGAGTTCCAGGACAACCAGAGCTACATAAGAGAGAGACCCTGTCTCAAAACGAGACAGAAGCCAGGTGGAGGTAGTGTAAGCCATGTCTCAAAAACATCAAAACAAACCAACAACAGAAGGACAAACAAACAAAAAAATGCTGGTCAGCGTTGGTGGCGCACGCCTTTAATCCCAGCACTCGGGAGGCAGAGACAGGCGGATCTCTGTGAGTTCGAGGCCAGCCTGGTCTACAGAGTGAGTTCCAGGACAGCCTCCAAAACAATACAGAGAAACCCTATCTCGAAAAACCAAAAACAAACAAACAAACAAACAAACAAAAAAAAAGCTGATCATGGTGACACATATAATCCCATAATCCTAACACTCAGCAAGCAGAGACAGGAGGATCACTGCAAATTCCAGGGCAACCTGGTCTACCCACGAAGTTCCAAACCAGACAAAACTTCCATAGCAAGACCCTCTTGTGCCTGGCAGTGGTGGCACACACCTTTAATCCCAGCACTCAGAAGGCAGAGGCAGGTGAATCTCTGTGAGTTTGAGGCCAGCCTGGTCTACAGAGCGAGTTCCAGGACATCCAGGGCTACACAGAGAGACTGTGTGTGTGTGGGGGGGGGGGGGGGGGAGACAACCCAAAAACCAACCAATTAAACAAACAACAGATCCTCTCAAAAGGATGGGGGAGAAAAGGAAAAAATGTTAAACTGGACACTAAATTAGACTGTTCAAGAGACAGAAGCCTTGGTTTTGCTTTTGAATATCTTTAAAAGAAATTAAAAACTCTGAAACAGGTAGAGGGCTAATAAGAGAACCTTAAAGACAAGAAGAATAGACAGCCTAGACCAACACAGACATTTGATTATATTGTGATAACCAAATCAAGACAATCAGGAAGATTAGTATAAACTCGGTCTGGATTGCCTTGGATCATTATTTTAGAACATAAAGGACTATGATTGCTAGAATTATTTTAGTCGTAATGGAGGCTTAAACTACTGCTATCTCTCCAAAGGTTCTAAGAGGAAAGATTCACTCACTGAACTATCAACCACAGTGCTGGAGTGACGGCTTAGCAGTTAACACTGACTACTCTTGCAGAGGACCCAAGTTTACCCCAGTGCTCACACCCAACTGTAACTGGGGGTGGGGGGGGGATTTGAACCCTCTGGTCCCTGCTGACAACACCAAACACCTGTGCATACTCACACTTGCACACATAACTAATATTAATAAAACGGGGCCGGGGACTGGAGAGATGGCTCAGAGGTTAAGAGCAATGACTACTCTACCAGAGGTTCTGAGTTCAATTCCCAGCAACCACATGGTGGCTCAAGCCATCTGTGATGAGATCTGATGTGTCAGCATATATGCAGGCAGAACACTACATGCGTAATAAATAAATAAATCTTTTTGTTGTTGTTTCTTGTTATTTTTTTTCTCCAGACAGAGTTTCTCTGTATTGCCTTGGAGCCTTTACTGGAACAAGCTAGCTCTTGTAGACCAGGCTGGTCTCGAACTCACAGAGATCTGCCTGCCTCTGCCTCCTGAATGCTGGGATTAAAGGCTTATGTCACCACCACCCGGCAATAAATAAATCTTAAAAACAAAAACCAGGGGCCGAGAGATAGTTCAGTGGTTGAGAACTCTTGTTGCTCTTTCAGAGGACCTGGGTCAGTTCCCTTCACCCATGGCACATCATAACCATCTATAACTCCAGTTCTGGAGGGTCTGACACCTTCTTCCAGCTTATGTGGTCATTAAATATACAAGGAACACAGACATAAACACAGGCATACATACTTACAAACATAAAAATATTTTTCCTTTAAAAAATTAAAGCAGAGGCCAGGCGTTGGTGGCCCACGCCTTTAATCCCAGCACTTGAGAGGCAGAGGTAGGTGGATCTCTGTGAGTTCGAGACCAGCCTGGTCTACAAGAGCTAGTTCCAGGACAGCCTCCAAAGCCACAGAGAAACCCTGTCTCCAAAAACCAAAAAAAAAAAAAAAAAAAAAAAAAAAAAATTAAAGCAGAACCCTGTCTCGAGAAAAAAAATAATAAATAATAATAAAAATAAAGCAGAGCCAGGCGTTGGTGGTGCACACCTTTAATTCCAGCATTCGGGAGGCAGAGGCAGGCAGATCTCTGTGAGTTTGAGGCCAGTCTGGTCTACAGCCAGGACAGGCTCCAAACCAATACAGAGAAACCCTGTCTTGAAAAAACAAACCAAAAAAAAAAAAAATTAAAGCAGGAAAGGGGCTAGAGAGACAACTCAGTAGTTAATACCACTTGTTACCCTGCAGAGAACTCCAATTCCTGGGGTCTTACACCCTCTTCTGACCTCCACAAGCACCAGACAGGAACATGGTACACATACATATATACAGGCAAACCATTTATACACAAAGTAAATAAGTCTTTAAAAGTTAAAAAGCCCAAGCAGGGCAGTGGTGGCACACACCTTTAATCCTAGCACTTGGAAGGTAGAGGCAGGCATATTTCTGTGAGTTTGAGGCTAACCTGGTCTAACAGAGCCAGAACTATTACACAGAGAAGCCTTGTCTCAAAAAAACAAAACAAAATAAAAAACAAACAAAAACATACACACAAAACCAGCAGCTGCTTCACAGCCTAACCTAAGGTTTATGTGGCACTTCGAAGTTACATTTGCTCTGATAAAACTTAGTCTAAACCTGGGTAAAGTGGTACATGCCTGTAATCAGTTATTCAGAAGTCTATTGAGCCTAACAATCCACAGCAGCCTGGGCTACACAGTAACTCCCAACTTGGGCTACTGATTAAAACACTGTCTCAAAAAAACCCACCAACTAGCCGGCGTTGGTGGTGCATGCCTTTAATCCCAGCACTCAGGAGGCAGAGGCAGGCGGATCTCTGTGAGTTCGAGACCAGCCTGGACTACCAAGTGAGTTCCAGGACAGCCTCCAAAGCCACAGAGAAACCCTGTCTCGAAAAAACAAAAAAAAAAACAAAAAACAAAACAAAACAAAAAAAAACCACCAACTACCCTGGACATGAAACCACTGCTGAGAAAGTAAAACAAACAACGACAAAAAACTGAACCAGCAACCAAGCAAACTACCTGAGGTAGGTACAGGAGCACAGGACACTTCTGTAGCTTGCATGAGGGCCTGGACATCACCACTATCACTGCAAAATCAAACCCAACCCAAACGAAAACCAGCTGAAACTGGGAAGCCTAGAAAAATGAAGTTTCTTCCACTTCTTTCTGTATTTAATCTTCTAAAGGACTAGATAAAAGTTACCAGCAAGATGTCCTCCATAGTACATATACACATATATACATACACAAACACATACACATGTGTAACTTTTTCCTAAAAGAACAAGTTTATTGAGTACAACTCAGGGGCCAGTAATCTAGGCAGTAATGAGTACCACCTCCCCATACTTTTTAAGTAAGAAGTTGGAAAACATGTGAATAGGTATATTTAGGATGGCTCTGCTCTTATCATTCAGACACTGAATGATAAGGATACTGTATGTTCTACTAACCCTGTGAAAATAAAAGTTATCCTTCTACAATACAGCTAAGTCAACATTATAGGGTAAGCAAGAGTTTTCCATGCAAGCTTTAGTTTATGTTAGTTAGCCTAAACCTACCTGACTGGAGATGTCCATTTCGGCACGTCAGGTTAGTACTGTCATTATAGACGTCCGTTTGTGACTTGGAAAATTGCAAAACGGGTTGCAGCTTCTCTATGCAATAGAGGAGTTTAAAAAAAGAATAAAATAAACAGAAAGAAAATAAACAAATAAAAGGCATATGGAAAATTACTGGGTTACAAAGCTGTCAGCGAAGATTTTGCACATAAACGAAATATTCTCTAAAATATGTAATTAGTAAGAACTCATATTAACGACAGGTGTTGGTGGTGCATGCCTTTTATCCCAGCACTCAGGGAGGCAGAGGCAGGCGGTTCTCTGAGTTATCCTGGTCTACAGAGTGAGTTCCAGGACAGCCAGGGCTACACAGAGAAACCCTGTTTTGAAAAAAACAAAACAAAACAAAACAAAACAAAAAAAAAGGCTTTACAAGACTGGAGGGCTGGAGAAATGAGTCAGCAGTTAAGAACACTGGCTGCTGGACCCAGGTTCAGTTCTGAGCACTCACGTGGCAGCTCACAACGGTGTGTAACTCCAGTTTAAGGGGATCCAGCCTGCTCACACAGACTTATATGCAGGCATAACACCATGTACACAGATAAAAAAGAAAGAAGTACAGCATGATCTCCCTAAGATCAAAAGGAAAATGTAAGAGGAAATCACACTTAAAAACAACACAGAAGGAAACAACAAGGAATATCTAGGAAAGGCCACCGGCTCTATTAGCTTAAGTCAAGCAAAAAAACAAATGCCACAAGGCAAGGGGCCCAGCATGATGAACTGTGTGTGCAGCATACTAGTGTTTGTGAACACACACACACACACAGTTCACAGCTGGTCACTTCCCAATGGGTCCAGCACAGATGCCTCTTGAGAGGGGAATGGGTCACTTGGATACAGTAGGAGGGGTGACAGTCATACTCTGTGACATGTAAGATGTAACTCATCAATGACAAGATTTGTTCCAACCTTACACCACCTCAAATAACAACCCTCCACAGGCTGAGTCAGCCTGCGGCCTGGAGCAAAAGGGTGGCTACTTTCCCTTCTGCAGTAAGGCTGCAGCCCTCCTTCCTCCCTCTGTCATCCTCCATATGCAGGCTGCCAAACACTGCTCCTAAGGTGACATACCTATCTGTGCCATCCAAATAAGAGATGGTCACCTTTTTCCCAAAAATGTTTTGCTGAAGTAAGTTTGTTTTCTTCTGTATTAGAGAACCACTGGATTCATGTATAAACGCAGCACTGGGCCTAGGTAGATGCAGTTTGGTGTGGAATATACAATTAACATATGCAAGGTCCTGCTTTAATTATTAGCACCCAACCAAAAACCAAGCAAGAAAGCAGAGCATACATATTGACTCTTAGAGTTATATTCCTGAAGTCAGACAAGCAGGCACCGGGCTGGGTTTACAGTGCAGTATCACATGCCTCTGGCGCAGGTTAAATAGCAGCTACCCTTTGTATACAAAGCACAAAGCAGTGTGTAGCTTCTGCGTCCTAGAAGTGGCTGATACAATATACCTTGGATCCTTTCTATTTACTTCGGTTAACTGGAGGTAGGTCATCTGATCTTTCTCAATGATAATGCTTTTTAAATCAAAATACTGAAACACAAATTACTTGTGTTGGTGAAAGGAGAAGTTAGAAAAATTCTGGTTATTAAGTGTCTTCTTTATTAACACAAAAAGTAACTAGAAACATGCATTAGAAAGAGTTTACAGTTCTACCTGTATAAACACAAACACACACACACACACATTTCAGTTAATCCCTATTAACAAAACAGTAACAGGATGAAGTTTAGCAGTGAACTCAAATGGTATGTACAAGGCCCTGGATTCTATTCCAGTCACAACAGCCAAAAGAGACTAATGCTGCTTTTTAAAATGACGAAGGTAACAGATGAATACAGTCACCTAAATTAAAACAGCCATGCTTCCCTAAGCTCCTAGCATCTAATTCCCCATGGATCTCCTCACTGAGGCACTTTACAGAAAAATTTACAGCACTCAGGAGGCAGAGGCAGGTGGATCTCTGTAAGTTCCAGGCCAGCCTGGTCTACAGAGTGGCATGAAACCCTCAGTGACCATTCCTGCTTGACAAAGTTCCAGCACTTGGTCTTTGCAGATCACAATTCTCCAGGCCTCTTTTACTTTCATTTTTTAATGATTCTCACTATGTGTTATGGAGCTCCCTTATACCTGTTCCTTTGGGAAATTTTATGCAGGCTTTGGAGGATGAAAATGTATAAAATGGAAGCCTCTTTAAACAAGGTAATTCTTTGGAAAGAATCTGTGCCACCATGGAACCATACCATGATAACTCTACCTACTCTCATATATGTTAACACCAAGCTATTAGAAAACACAGATAAGTAACATGTACTAGATAAACAAGGTGTATTTGATAAGTAAGATTTGTTTGATACATAAGGCATATTTGATAATCAAGGTTTATAAATTCCTAATGTCTACTCAGGTTAACAGGAGTTATTTGACTAGCTTCATCTTTGCTCACTTTAAGCTTTAGCTATTTGGATAAACTAAGCCATACAAAAAAGTAGGTCTGGGGGAGGGTCTAGGCCCTGCCCTGGATGAAATGACAGACTATGGACACCCCCATGGAGGGCCTCACCCTCCCTGGGGAAATGAGGGATATTGGGAGGGTTGGTGGGAAGGCACGGGAGGAGGGGAGGGAAACGGAGAGGGACCTGGAACTGACTTGTGAAGCAACCTTGTTTCTAATTTAAATTTAAATTTAAAAATGTAAAAACAAAAACAAAAATTGGTCTACAAGAGCTAGTTCCAGGACAGACTCTGAAGCCACAGAGAAACCCTGTCTTGAAAACAAAACAAAACAAACAAAAAGAACAAACCCAGAAACAAACAATAAACAAACCAGGGAGGGAGGGAAGGAAGGAGTGAGCAAGCGAGCAATGGTTAAGAGCATTGGAGTTCTTGCAGAGGTCCAAGGTTCAGTTCCCAGCAGCCACTCTAAGTAGCTCACAAACACCTGGAACTCGAATCTGGTGCTCTCTTCTGGTCTCCATAGGCACCTTTATGCATGCTGTGCACATATAAACGCTCAGGCACATAATAAAATAAAATATAATTTAAAATTTGAAATTACTGATCTACTACTGGTAAAGACTGAATTCTCACTAGAGACTGAGCACGGGGCCTGGTACACGCTATGCAAATGCTCTACCACTGAACTATGTGCCTGGCCCTTACCATTAATGACCATTAAACATTCCAAGTCTATTTCATAACTAATTAGAGAAGTTGATACCTAGAAGTTGTAAACGATCCTTGGCCATAACCAAATTAGTCATCATTTTGGCTTGAAGGCGTCTAGCTCTTTCACACTGTTCACCTAAATGGAAAAAAAAGAAAGGAAGAATTAGCTAAAAGATCTACATTCCCCTACCAACAGTGTTTCAAGATAAGTGTTGCTCCAGCTACCGTTATGGATAATCAAAATCTTTCTTCATAAAGAAATTTAAGGTTGGGCAAAGGGTCTCATACTTGCAATCCCAAGATTTGGACACTGAGTCAAGTTCAATGCCAATCAGCCTGGGCTACAGAGTGAGACCTTGTCTCAATAGAGGGAAGGAAGAAGGGAGAAGGAATGCTTTTGCTAGGCAAGGTGACAGACCCTGAAATGCTAGGTGAATTCAAGAGGCTAAGGCGGAAGGACAGTGAATCCAGTGTGAACCTGTCTTAAATATGTATGTATATTATACATAGACATATTACTTCAGAGAATACCTTCCTCATGATGGCTTCAAAGCTACTGCTCATCACAGATTTCACACACAGTTCATGGAGCCCCTGACACTTTTCTCACACTTCCATCTTTGAACTGATACTGGTGAGATGGGTCATCAGGTGGAGCGGCTTGGTGTACGGGCTTGACAACCAAGTTCAAGTCCCAGATAGAAGCAGGATTCAGAACTGACTCTAAAACTTGCCCACTCACACCCACACATATACAATAAATACATAAACTAATAACAAAAACAAAACGCAAAACCTTTGAGCTGGGATATGATCTGTCACCTGTGCCAACTTACTAAAATCCAGGTACAGTCATACATTGTCCCTGCCTGGGCATGAACAAATCTGTCAGATATTACTGTTGCGATGTCTAAGAGGCACATGTATTCAGTAAAATTAGAACTTAAATGCTAAGTTCTAAGAAGAAAACATACCTTTTTTTGGGGTTTCTTAAAAAAACAAAAAAGAGCCAGGAGCAGAGGTGCACACCTTGATCTCAACACTCAGAAGGGAGAAGCAGGTGAAACTCTTGGGTTTGGACCAGCCTGGTCTACAGAGCACGCTCCAGGACAGTCAGGGCTACACACAGAAACCCTGTCTTGAAAAACCAAAAAGCAAATAAAATAAAATAAAGGAGGAAGAGGAGGAAAAAGGCTGACATCTGATGGCTTGTGTTCAAACTCCTACTTCTTCACTTGCTAGCTATGAAATCTTAGTTGAGTTACATCTCTGTACTTCATGTTTTTCATCTGAAAACTAAGGACGACACTAGTTGCAGAGCATGGCGTTATGATAACATGAGATGCTCTCTGTGAGACATCTCCAATGACTGCTGGGAGGCAGGAAGTAGACAACAAATGTTTAAATCATAGCTACTCAGACAGACTCTGATTTTACTTATATTTTCCTTTTTATACAGGCTGGCTATACAGCTGAGGCTGCATTTGAACTTGAGATCTTCCTTCCTCACCCACCAAGTGCTTGGTTACAGGATTACACCTGGTTTAGATCAGAATTCTATTTTGAAGTAGCAGGAAATAAACACCAGAGGTAACTGCTTTGGTTTAAAAGAGTCAAATATAAATCAAAATAAGAAATTCCCAATTTATTTTATTTTATTTTGGTTTTTAGACAGGGCTGTACTGTATACCCCAGACTGATTTCGAATTCACCTGCCTCTGCCTCCTAAATCCTGGGATTAAGATGTGCACCTGGTTTATAGTCTAATAAGTACTACCAAAAAAAAAAATTTCCAGGCTGTAAAAGTTCAGAGACAGGACACTTGCCTAGTGTGTAACACCTAATAATTCCCAACAACAACAAAAGATTACTTTGTTACTGCCTGCCTGTCATGGCAAATCATGTTTGAGACCTGAGTTTCACTTTTAGAACAGCCAATACCATACATGCACAAATATTAACAATGACATCAAGAAGGGCTGGAGAGATGGCTCAGCAGTCAAGAGCACTGGCTGCTCTTCCAGAGGCCCCGGGTTCAATTCCCAGCAGCCACATGGCAGGTCACGACCATCTGTAACTCCAGTTCTAGGAGATCCAATGCCCTCATATGGACACATATGCAGGCAAAAACACCAATTCACATGAAATGAAAATAAATAATTAACAAACAAAATACAATGACATCAAAAAAATCAACTGCATGTACTGAGGTAAATAGATCTGAGAGGAGAGGAATTATGTAAATTTAGTCACCAACTCCACCTATGCAAATCTGCTTTCAGAACTGGCAGTTACCTGTGATCACCTACTGTCCAAAATAATGAAATGGAGAATTATAACAACTTTTAGATACTGAGCTGCATGGTATTGATCTATCCCACCCACATCATGAATCTTCCCTTTGTTCAAAATATCCACATTACATCAGTGGCCATGCTGGACAATCCTTACAGCTCAGTCCACCAGGAGCCCTGGAAGGTTCTCTATGGATAAGGGATCTGGAAGGAGAGAACTACTATAGAATTTGAGGTGGCAACAGAAACCATACATAAAACCCACCTTGGCCTGTAACTATAACAGCGATTCCTTTTTCTAGTTCTTCGATACCTTTCTTGTACCATTCTACAGCTTGCTCCTTCTGTCCTGCTTTAAAAAAAAAAGAAATCATTATTTGTATATAACATGGGTATGAAAAATGTAGCATTGGCTGGGCGGTGGTAGCGCACGCCTTTAATCCCAGCACTCAGGAAGCAGAGGCAGGCGGATCTCTGTGAGTTCGAGACAAGCCTGGTCTACAGAGCAAGTTCCAGGACAGCATCCAAAACAATGCAGAGTAACTGTCTTGAAACAACAACAACAACAAAAAAGGAAAATATTGCATTCACTGCCCCATGTATCATACTGATAATTGACACATGAAAAGGTTGTGATCTCAGTCTAAGAAACATTATACATAATCAAATAAAAATTTCCATATCATTCTTCATTATTTGATTTTTCAAAATAAAACTTACAACTGCCATGATCACAAAATAGAATGGTCTTTTTATAGACACCATATAACAACTAAGAAATGTGTATTCCCGGGGCTGGAGAGATGGCTTAGAGGTTAAGAGCACTGACTGCTCTTCCAGAGGTCCTGAGTTCAATTCCCAGCAACCACATGGTGGCTTACAACCATCCGTAATGAGATCTGGTGCCCTCTCCTGGCTTGCAGACATACATAGAGGCAGGATGTTGTATTCATAATAAATAAATAAAATCTTTAAAAAAAAAAAAAAGAAATGTGTATTCCCTATTCCTCCAGAGCACCTATCTCTTAAGACAAGTTTTATATCCTGGGGGCCTGGAACTCTGTAGACCAGGCTGGCCTCAAACTCACTGAGATCTGCCTGCCTCTGCCTCCCAAGTGCTGGGATTAAAGGTGTGTGCCACCAACACCTGGCATATTTGGCAATTTCTTACTTCTCACAATATCAGTCAACCTGGACACAGTGGTAAGAAGATCAGAAGTCCAAGGTCTTCCTCAGCTACAGAGCAAGATTGAAGCCAGCCTAGGCTACAAGATTCTTCCTCAGGTTACTCTAAACCAACAGAAACTTTGATCTTCCTGTTTTCTTCTTTGTTTTTTACAGGAGTCTCATGTAGCCCAGGTAGGTCTCACAATACATACACAGCTGAGGATGTCCTTGAAATACTGACCCTCCGAGTGCTAGCATTACAAGGGCACCACCCTGCCTGGCTTCATAGTCACATTTTCAATAAGAAAATACCTGTTCATACGCATTTCTGGGCATTTTTACTTGAAAAGAAGAAAAAAATAGTATAATGACATTTCCATTCTGAGTGATGAGAATGTCACTAGCAATGTCTTACTTGTGTACAGTTCTTACTCTACAAAGTGACTATATCCTAGCAAATATGCAAGTCCCTTTCCAGTGCCTCTTCTCATTCTTACAGTCTTTCCCTTCCAAGAAGTCACTATCATGATCTCAATACATGTTTTTATAGTACAGGCTTTTCTACTATATTCACCAATATTTGTAGTATTTCATTTTTTGTTTTCTTGAGATAGGGTCTCACTATGTAGGCTTGGCTCTACTGGAACTCACCATGTAGACCAGGCTGGCCTTGAACCCAGATATACGGCTGCCTCTGCCTCCAGAGTGCTGGATTAAAGGAGTGCACCACCATCCCCACCTTTCATTTACTTTTGTGGGTGCCTGTATGTGCAATTACATCAGCCCTTGCATGTGCATATGGAAGACAGAGGCTGTGTCCAGTGTCTTCTATTGCTCTCCACCTGAGTTACCATCTCATGGGGAGGGGCATGGGTGCGTGTATCACACATGTATGGAGGTCAAGGGAGCCACCAGTCTCTAAGTACTCCAGCACTGGGATAACAGATGCCAAGCACCTGGCTTTCTTCCACGTGGGTGCAGGAGACCTGAAGCCAGGTCCTTACGCTTGTGTAGCAAGCATTTACCAGCTGACCCAGCTCCATAGCCCTACTTTGTTTTTTTTTTAATTCACACATGCAATTGATATACATATATGTATATGTTTATGTGTGTATATACACATATATATTTCACTCACTACCTGGTAATTTAGCTATTTTCTATAGTAAAAGCTATTGAGCAGAGCAGTGGTGGTGCCCACCTTTAATGCCAGCACTGGGGAGGCAGAGGCAGGGGATCTGTAAGTTCAAGGTCAGCCTGGTCTACAGAGTGAGTTCCAGGACTACACAGAGAAAGCCTGTCTGGAAAAGCCAAACCAAAGGCTACTGAAGGGCTGGTGGGGCAGAGTGGGCCAAGTTCATGCTGCTGGCGCTGAGGACCCACAGGTAGAGGGAAAGAACTAAAGAACCGATCCCCACGAGTTTTCCTCTAACTTTCAAACCTGCACCACATAACACACACAAGACGAATGAATGAATGAAGGCTTTACTTCGGTATTTTAACAGTTGTCTTCACAGGCACTAAATGACCGGGAACACGCAGTTCAGAGGTAGACAATTAGTCCCCAGTCCTGTAAAGAAAGGTAAGACTGAAAGAAAAGACACTATTGCTGGAGAGTTATCCCAGGGTTAGAGCCTTTGTCCTTGTAGAGGGCCAGAGTTCTACACCCATCACCCACACAGGAGCTCACAGCTGTAACTCCAGTGCAGGACATGTCACACCCTCCTGCAACCTGCAGAGTATCAGGAACACTCATGGTGCACATGCATACTTACAGGCAAACACTCAGACACAGAAAATAGTTTTTAAAATATGTAACATGTCCCAAAACATACTAAAAATTAAGGGCTAGCCTGGAGCCCAGTGGTAGAACTCTTGTCTAACACGTTCAAGGCTCTGGGTTCAATCCCCAGCTCTTTCACCAAAAAGATAACACACATGTTCCCAGCTTTTATTTTTCTTTCAGATGGTACTGTGGTGAACACTCTGTCCCCAACACCCATCTGCAGTGTCTCTGCTGTACACTGAACAAGTAACACAACGGGCTGTCACATTTCTCCACTCACCACATGACTAACTCTTACAGCTGTTCTAATTATATCTGTTCTTATTATTTTACATTTTCACTGCAGTTATGTATGGTTAGTGTGTACTGCATGCATGTGTATGCTCACCTGCCACAGCACCCGTGTGGAGGTCAGGAGAAGTGGAAAAAGTCAATTCTTTCTACCATGTAGACAAGGTCCTCAAGCTCGCTGGTAGGCACCTTTGCCCACTAAAAGGTCTCTCTGGACCCTTTCCCTTTACTTTTTAGGGTTTTTTTGTTTATGTTTTTGGTTTTTTTTTTGTTTGTTTGTTTGTTTTTTCGAGACAGGGTTTCTCTGTATTGTTTTAGAGGCTGTCCTAGAACTCACTCTGTAGACCAGGCTGGCCTCGAACTCACAGAGATCCGCCTGCCTCTGCCTCCCGAGTGCTGGGATTAAAGGCGTGCGCCACCAACGCCCGGCTTTTTAGTTTTAACTTTTACTATTCCAAATGAAGAAGCTGCATGTGAGTGCACGGGCGTGCAGTGCCTGCAGAGGTCAGAGGTGTCAGATCCCTGGAGCTGGGGTCACAGGTGGATGTAGAGCCACCTGACATGGGAGCTGGCCACTCCACTCAGGTCTTCTGGAGGACAGCAGTGTGTACTCTGCTGAGCCATCGCTCCAATCACCTCCCTTCTGTGTACTGGACTTGAACCCAGGGCCTTGGATTAGTGTTCAGCAAGTATTTTAGTACTACGCTATATCCACAGACCAAAACTATGCTCTTTTTGTCTTATGATTTAAAGATTTTTTATTTTGCTGGGCAGTAGTGGTACATGCATATAATTCCATCACTGGAGTTAGAGGCAGGCGGATCTCTGGGAGTTCAAGGCTAGCTTGGTCTACAGATCAAGTTCCACGACAGTCAAGGCTATAAAGAGAAACCCTGTCTCGAAAATCAAACAAAAATTTATGTTATTGCTGTTTTTCTTAGTGTGTGTGTGTGTGTGTGTGTGTGTGTGTGTGTGTGTGTGTATGTGCGCGCGTGCGTGCTGCAGTGTCTATGTGGAGGTCAGAGGACACTGTAGGTAGCTGGCTATCTTCAATGGAGAGTTATGAGGACTGAATTCAAGGCTTGAGTGTCAAGTGAGTCTCGCCTGCTAAGCCATCTCACTAGTGCACTAATCTAACTCTTAATGCCACTACTTGAGGGTTCTCCTTGGCAACCTTCTTTTTTTTTAATTTTTAAGATGGCTGAGGGCTGGAGAGATGGCTCAGAGGTTAAGAGCACTGACTGCTCTTCCAGAGGTCCTGAGTTCAATTCCCAGCAACCACATGGTGGCTCACAACCATCTACAATTCAATATGGTGCCCTCTTCTGGCATGTAGGCAGAACACTGTATATGTAATAAATAAATAAATAAAAATTAAAAAAAAAAAAAAAAGATGGCTGAACAGTTAGGACCACTTGCTTTTGCAGAGGACCCATATTCAATTCCCAGAACCCACATGGTAGCTTACAATCCCCCTTAACTCCAATTCCAGGGGGCCTGATGTCCTCTGTTTGACTTGCTTAGGCAACAGGCACATGCACAGTGTCCACACAAATGTGTAGGCAAAACATATATATAAGATGAAAGAAATCTAAAAAGGTTTACACGAGCCATATTTATTTAATTTTGTCTCTGTGTGTGCATGTAAGTCCGAGGACAACTTTCAGGGGACTGTTCTCTCCTATAGGAAGGAGTGGCCCTGAAGACTGAATAGGCTTGGCAGCAAGAACGAGCCTTAACCTGCTCAGCCATCTCCCCAGTAACATTCTAATAAGCACTCACATATCGTCTAATTTCTTATTAAAATTAACTGTATATGCATATGTGTATAAACACGGGTGTGGGTGGGCACAGCACAAGCGCAGAGGTCAGACGACAACCCTGTGGGGTGACTCCCTTCTTCCACCTTTATGTGGGCTCTAGGACAAACGCAGGCCATCAGACTTTGAAGTAAAAGCCGTTTCCAAAAGTCACCTTGCCAGTCCTTCCTTAGTGTGTAAAACTCAGGGTACTGGAACAAAACTCTCTGAGAGCTTCAATTAGACAGAGAATTCTGAGAGAACATAGAAGTAAAAGCCATAGAACCAAGGATAAACTAAACTTCACTA